GAAAGCAGCACATGTGTGTCCCTGGGTGAGTGAATAGAAATGTCAACACAATAGAGAAGGATGCAAAGACAGAGTTATCCACAGTCAGAAGAGGGTGCTGGCTGGTCTGTCCACAGAAATGTTTAATCTATTAGCGCTACTGGGTTACTTTTTTTTCCCTACTCTAAGGCAGGGGGACTGCATGATCATAATATTAGAAGCATGAAAAACTTATGGTCTAGCAAAGGATTGAATAAAACTTACCATGTGAATTTATTTTAGGATTAAAACAACAAAGTTGACAGGGTTTTTTTTTTTTTTTTCTTTTTTTTCCAAACTGACCATCTGACTTTTGTGTATTAAAACAGCTAAACTGATTTAGTCAGTAATATTCTTGACTTTCCTCTGAATGGTGTCTCCTGAGAGATGAAGCCTCAGCTAAGAGAACACAGTTCTTAACCCCAAGATGATCTTTAGAGAAACCACCAACGTGGTTTCTCTCCTTGCCATCATTTTTAATTTTATTTTTTTAGTAAAACTTTTGGAAGCGACACAGCAACCTTGTTTTCTTTTATTTGGTTTCTGAAATGATTATAAACTTGACATGAGTGTTTAGGGAGAACACCCTTTACAAAACTCAGTGGAAATCTTCCTAGACAAAAAAATTTCTCTTTTGTTCAGTAACAAGTCTCAGATTAATCCTGAAGCTCAAAGATCCTTTTTCTACTGCCATAAATGTTGATTTGGTTTGTGGTGGCTTTATAGATTTTAATCTTTGATATTTTTGTTTTAAGGTACCAGTGTGTTCTTAAAGAGATGGGACTACCAGACCACCTGACCTGCCTCCTGAGAAATCTGTATGCAGGTCAGGAAGCAACAGTTAGAACTGGACATGGAACAGTAGACTGGTTCCAAATCAGGAAAGGAGTACATCAAGGCTGTATATTGTGACCCTGCTTATTTAACTTATAGGCAGAGTACATCATGAGAAATGCTGGGCTGCATGAAGCACAAGATTGCTGGAAGAAATATCAATAACCTCAGCTATGCAGATGACACCACCCTTATGGCAGAAAGCAAAGAAGAACTAAAGAAACTCTTGATGAAAGTAAAAGAACAGAGTGAAAAAGTTGTCTTAAAACTCAACATTCAGAAAACTAAGATCATGGCATCTGGTTCCATCACTTCATGGCAAATAAATGGGGAAGCAATGGAAACAGTGACAGACTTTATTTTGGGGGGCTCCAAAATCACTGCATGGTGATGAAATGCAGTGACATGGTGATGAAATGCATGGCTGCAGATGGTGACTGCAGCCATGAAATTAAAAGACGCCTGCTCCTTGGAAGAAAAGTTATGACCAACCTAGACAGCATATTAAAAAGCAGAGACATTACTTTGCCAACAAAGGTCCATCTAGTTAAGGCTATGGTTTTTCCAGTAGTCACATATGGATGTGAGAGTTGGACTATAAAGAAAGCTGAGTGCAGAAGAACTGATGGTTTTGAACTGTGGTGTTGGAGAAAACTCTCGAGAGTCCCTTGGACAGCAAAGAGATACAACCAGTCCATCCTAAAGGAAATCCGTCTTTTATGATTTCCTTGATTTCCATTTGAATGAATAGTCATTCATTTGACTATTCAAGTTTACCAGTTTAACTAGTCAAGTTTACTTACTAGTACTTACTAGTCAAGTTTACAATCATTTCAAACTATTCATTTGAATGACTGATGCTGAAACCCAAACTCTAACACTTTGGCCACCTGATGCGAAGAACTGACTCATTGGAAAAGACCCTGATGCTGGGAAAGATTGAAGGCGGGAGAAGGGGACGACAGAGGATGAGATGGTTGGATGGCATCACCGACTCAATGGAGAAGAGTTTGAGTAAACTCCGGAGTTGGTGACGGACAGGGAGGCCTGGCGTGCTTCAGTCCATGTGATCGCAAAGAGTTGGACACGACTGAGCGACTGAACTGAACTGAACTGAACCAGTGTGTAGCGGGGGCTTCCACAGTGGCTCCGTGGTAAAGAATCCGCCTGTAATGCAGGAGGTGCAGGAGACACTGGTTCAATCCCTGGGTTGATCCCTGGAGAAAGGCATGGCATCCCACTCCAGTATTCTTGCCTGAAGAATCCCTTGGACAGAGGAGTTTGGTGGGCTACAGTCACAGGGTCGCAAAGAGTCAGACACAACTGAAGCAACCTAGCACACACACACCAGTGTGTAGCGGGTTGAATGTTCCCAAAAAGATAGGCTCCAGGACTTCCCTGGCAGTAGAATGGTTAAGAATCCACCTTCCAATGCAGGGGACATAAGTTTGATTCCGGTTGGTGAATTGAGATCCCACGTGCAACAGAGCAACTAAGCCTGCAAGCGGCAACTACTGAAGACTGTGTGCCTTGATCTGTGCTCAGTCCACGACAAGAGAAGCCACGGCAGTGAGAAGCCCACGCAATGAAATGAAAGGTAACCTCCACTCATGGCAACTAGAGAAAAGCCTGGGTGCAGATACGAAGACCCAGGGCAAACAAAAAAAAAATTTTTTTTTTTAAATCACATTGCTCTGAATATGTTGTTAAACCAAACCTCTGCTGTCTTCTTAGTTGACTGCAGAATGAATTGGTACAGTTGGCCAACGCAAGATACAAAAGCCCCTAAGACAGCATTGCTGGCAAGGGAGGCCGGCAGCCCAGCCTCAAAAGCAGCAACAAGTCATCTCAGGCTTTAACTCAGACTCAGTCCTGGGTAGCAAGGCAGGTGGGCCCCTTCCATCAGCACATTAGGCTGAGATTTAGTGCCATCACAAAGCGCTTCAACGTGCTGCTGAAATTCACGCAGTCTATATTTCTCATTGTATAGAACTGAACTAGTGCCAGAGACTACACTGAAAGCTTCTGGCTAATCTGAAATTGTCTTTGTAGTGGTATTTACACTAACATATTTTTCTTTTATTTTTGGATGAGGTCTTTAGTAAAACAGAACTTCCTCTGCCTTTTTCCTCCTTTCCCTCCAGGCCGCCCCCTTCCCTCTTAATCTCATGAGTGGGGGAGGGGAAACCACAGGACAGTCTATCTGGCTTTATGCCACTGTGTCCTGCAATTGAACAGTCAGCCGATGAGTCCAGTGATGGTATTTAAGAACAAACAAAAGGAAAATATAAATCCTTTAGGCAGCAGATATGTGTAATTTACTCTAGTTTTCTGTTTCAACTTTTTAAAGAATGCAAGATCTTAGACAATAGTGAGTCAGAAATAGGCCAGTTATAGCACTAAATCTCCCTCAATTAGGGTCATAACAAAAACACTATTTATAAACATATGGTGCAACTTGATAGGATTAAAAGAACGGTGGATCCAATTTGTCATCTCCATCTACAATGTCCCAGGAGCGGTAAAAACCCTGTTCCTTGTAGAGCAAGCCATCTGAAGCATTTTCAGAAAAATGTTTAGAATCCCTGGTTCCACAGAGGGTCTAAATTTGTGGCTATTAACTTGGGCTTCAGGCTCCCTCTCCTCATTATCTGTCAGCCCCAATATTTATGTAAGCAAAAATGTAAGGTAGCGGCACACCGACATTGGTGATAACTGTAGGTTAGCTAAGGAAAATGAAATATCTGACACAGCATCATCAATCACAGTGCCTCTGATTTGTAAGCATTTGTGTTCCATTCTGAACAGATCGGCAAGATGAAACACCCCCCCCCAAATTAAAACCCCTCCAAGACTGGATCCTTCGAGTCTCCATACATAACCTTAGGCTTCTGTCAACCACTAAATGCTTAGGTGTGGCCCAGTCTAGGTCTCTGCCCTCACCTGGCACCGCTCCTTTTCGTAGAGCCTTCTGGATGAATGATGCAGATCAAACATAGGCACCGTGCTTCCCTACGTTCCTCTTTGATGAACCATTCCTTATTTGGCCTGTGCATCTTCTCTCTACCTGCTCCATGTTTTGTCTCTTTCTATTATTTTTTAGAGTTATTTGTACGTTGGATCTGCTCCTAATCAACTGTAAGCCCTTGAGAGGAGGGGGCTTACTCACTTTTGTTCCCTTCTCGCCCCCAATCAGCCCCTAGCACAATGCTTTGCACATAGCAGACACGCCACAGTTAATTTTTTGACTGCATAGACGAGCAGATAAATGATGAGAAGATTAAAAATCAGAAGCCAAACATTAAATAATTGAAATGATGATCTGGAAAAACAAACAGGGAAAAATAAATTTGAATCATAAGTAGTTAGTTCTTCATGAGAAAAATACTTGTCCTGTGAATCATTCTATATCTTTATCCTGCATTAAAATTTAAACTGGAATGTTCCCACTTAAAATGTCTGTGTACATTACATGTTCCAAGAGAAGTCAAATTCATAATCATGACTGTACTGTATTCATAAAAGGATGTTTTGCCATATCAGTATTAATGTCATTTTTTGGTCTTTCTTGGAGAAATGTACATTTTAAGGCTAAGACTTCGCCACAAAAGAAATTCTATCCTAAACTTCTGATGCCAAGCCACTAAAAATTCAGTTGTCTATACTGTGAAGCCATCCAAACACCTCAATGAATTTTTTTTCTCTTGTACTACATGGCTGCTCATCTGAACAAAGAGGAAGACTTACACATTATAAACACTTGATGGGAAGATTGATCTGAAAAGGAAAATATGGAATGAAGTGTAAAATAGAGTCCTTGATAAATGACTGGATTAAGAGAACGAGTGAACAGTGCTTCCCTGGCGGTCCAGTGGTTATGACTCTGGGCTTTCACTGCAGGGGGTGTGGGTTTGGTCCCTGGCCGAGGAACTAAGATCCCACATGCCATGCAGCACGGCCAAAAAGTGAAATAATAATAATTCAAGTTAAAAAAAAAATTTTTTTAACAAAAGGAAAAGTGATCTGCCTTTATACTAGATGTCTTTTCAGGGAGTATGGGAGACTTCGCATGCTTTCCCAGATAGTGTGGTAAAACATGAAGTTAACTTTTGATGCTTCTTTATTAAAAACAAAGGCTTTGGAGTATCATGACTCTAGGTACCAAGAGGAAAGAGAGATAAATTAACTTGAGTATAAGACAAAGAGATCCAGCTTAAACAAGCACAGAAAGCATTCTCATCACCTTCCAGAGTTTCTCTCTCTGATTCTAAACTCTGCATCCTCAAACCACTTCATGTTTTGGGAAGAGAGAGATGAGAAAGACAAAATGATGAGGGGGAGGACAGGAAAATGGGAAGAAAGTGGAGGTGAGGAAGTAGTGGGACTACTAAAGAGCATTTAGAGTCACACAGAAATGGGGAATGGAATAAAAGCTGCAGTGAGCAGCAGAGACAAACAAGATTTCTGAATCATGCACGATGGACTATGCCTAATAATTCTGCAACCATAATCTAGTGGGTGCCATGTACAGGCACAATACTAAGCATTTTACCTATACTAAATCAGGGGTCCCCAGCCCGCAGGCCATGGGCCAGCACTGGCCTGTGGCCTGTTAGGAATCGGGCTGCACAGCCGGAGGTGAGTGGTGGGCAAGTGAGCAAAGTTTCACCTGTATTTACAGCCGCTCCCCATCACTTGCATTATTGCCTGAGATCTGCCTCCTGTCAGATCTGCGGTGGCATAATAAATACTACGCCCTTGAGTCATCCTGAAACCATCCCCACCCCACACCTTGTCTGTGGAAAAACTGTCTTCCATGAAATCAGTCCCTGGTGGCAAAAATGTTAGTGACCACTGTATTAAATCATTTAAGCTCATGACAGACCTACAGGGTGAAAAGCACAGAAAGCCTGACCTAAACCATCGCAAACAAAATAGGAAGTATATTGGGTTGTACAAATGAACAGTCATTCAGGCAAAGCATTATCCAAGGCTCAAAAAATGTGTTCCTCTACTCCATTTCTTCGCTCTGTTGCCATTATATTGAGACCTCAGGTCCTAGCAGGCTGCCCCTTTCTAATCCTCAAAAAGCTGCCTATAGCTGTGAGTTGAGGTACTTATTTCTTGCTCAATTCAGGGTGGGGGAATACAGTTGGAACAAAAGTCCCAGACAAAAGTTCCAGAATTTGTTGTCCTGATTTGCCAGGTTTTGTCTTGTGATTATCCCATGAACCAAACTCAGTTCTGAGGAATTTGCTGACTGTTTTAAGCCAAGTATAGATTAACCCTGAAACTTTGGGGGGGGGGGGTTGCAATTCTACCCAAACTAGATTGATGAAAAATTCAAGGAACCATTAGAAAAGGAGCAAGAATGAAATCTTTATAAAGGAAGACTGCAGAGATGGTAAAAATGGACATAGAAATAAATAAGTAGCTATTACAAAAAGCAAAGACTAAGAATGCAAAATATTTTTATGATTCAATTTTTGTTAAAAGCTTCCCTGGTGGTTCAGAGGGTAAAGAATCTGCCTGCAATGCAGGAGACCCGGGTTCAATCCCTGGGTTGGGAAGATCCCCTGGAGAAGGGCATGGTGACCCACTCCAGTATTCTTGCCTGGAGAATCCCATGGACAGAGGAGCCTGTGAGCTACAGTCCACTCAGCTAGTCACTGAGTGACTAACACTTTACATGTATTTTAACATATGTATATATGCATGTGCCTGTATCTATCTATACTGAATTGCAGCAAGAGAAGCCGTCCCAGGCTGACTTAGGCAGAAAGGAAAAATATTTTAAAAAGGTTTTGACTGGTTCGGAATCTTCAAGAAGTTGGCCATCTTCTGTCAGGCTGCTAAAAAGAGGACCCTGAAAGATTTGTACACTAGAGACTTATTAAATGATGCCGGGAGATGCCTGTTAGGCAGTGGGGGAAGCAGGACAGGGAAGAGGAGAAAGCCCAGCAAAGGCGCAGTCTCCAGTGATGGTCCCCAGGGTAGCTACAGCCTGATCCCACAGAGGAACACTGAGGCAGAAGTTACACCTTAGTATGGCCCCAACCCAAGGTCTAGGGGCTGGCCTTCCCAACTCTGCACCTCCAAGTCACTGGATAAGGGCTGTTACCCAGGAGGGCAACTTCGGAGGACTTTTAGCTTTCGGTGCCTTCTGGCAAAAGCTAATCCAGGAGCCGCGGGGGATGTAGGTGTTGCTTTCAGAATGAAAGCACCTTAAGATGCTGGGAAAACGAAGCACAGGAAACAGTAAAAGGGGATCCGGTGAGATCTGGGCGAGGCACAAACACGATGCACTCGTGTGGCAGAACCAGCTTTGAACTATGGGGCCCAGTTAAACACAGTGATCACACTGGGCAGCTGCCCTGGGAATTCCTGGGTGGGGCTGGTGTCCTGCCATGAACCCAGTGCTACTTCCCACTGCTGACTGCGGCCACCACCACTGTCCTCATCAGCGGGGACTCCTTGCGGTTCTTGCTCTTTGAGTCCCTAATTTCTAAAGTCTAGAAACTGGGCTTTCCTGGTGACTCAGACGGCAAAGAATCCTCCTGCAATGCGGGAGACCTGGGTTTGCTCCCTGGGCTGGGAAGATCCCCTGGAATCCACGGTCAGAGAAGCCTGGAGGGGTACAGTCCAGGGGTTCAAGGACACGACTCAGCGATTAAGTTCAGCACCGCCCACAGGGGGCTAGGTGATGGAGGTTAGAGTGTGTTTATATCTCTGCTGTAAGAGACGCCAGGAAAAAAGAATATCTGGCATTTTTAGCTTCTATATTGAGAGGCAAGCTGTGTGTCATTAAGTATTAAGTGGGAATTCCCAAAGCACTGGGAGAGGATGCTCACCTTGTGTGGCCAAGAAGGGCGAGAGGTGTTCTCAACACATACTCACAAATACATAAAACGTTTAAGAATTATCCAGACACTATCAACAGACATTAACTCTGGAGAGTGGAATTTTATATCTTTCTGTAGTATTTGAGAATTTTATAAGGGTTTTTTGTTTTTAATGTTAAAGAACTGGTTTACTTCTTAAAAGATCTGTGCCTTTATTAAAAACAGCTTTTAGGAGGTCAGAATGTCTTAATTACATTATGTACTTTCTCCTTTCAGATTTGGTGATGATCAAGCATTTTTTTCATTGAATCTTGTGCAAGGGCCACACAATGCAAAAAGACACAGCCTTCACTCTCAATGAGGTTGTGACAAGGATTGGGAATAATACGCTTTTGAATTTGTGGATTTTATTTTATTTTGCTTTCTCAAATACCGGCAAGACTTTAGCTTCAGGGAGTAAGTGCCCCAAATAGGCAGCTTTGACTAGCTCTCCTTTTCTTTCCTATAAAATGGAATTGAAGACTGTAAGTTGTAGATCTTCCTGATGATTTCCAAGCTAAATGATGTTGGTATATTTGGAAGGAAGTTGCTATGAAAGTATTGCATGCTCTTGAATTTCATTTTTTAAAGATTTCATTAGAATTAGGTAACATCACCTCTTGTTTTGTGTCGGACTGCAAAAGACTTATTGCTATCCAGATGTATTCCTTTAGCTGATGGTAATATAAGCATTCTCAAAGCTCATATTTCTAAGCCTGGGATTTAACACAAAACCATAGGTAATAAAGATGTATAAAATCTAGCGTCTCGATCATCCCATCTTCCTGACATCTCATTTTGATTTATGAAACATTTAATGATATGGTCAAGCCAAATGGTAGCCTGAAGGTAGTTACTTTATTCTGCCACTCACCCGTAACTCCCCAAAGGTCCATCTAGTCAAAGCTATGGTTTTTCCAGTAGTCATGTATGGACATGGGAGTTGGACCATAAAGAAGACTGTACTCTGAAGAACTGATGCTTTTGAACTTCGGTTTTGGAGATGACTCTTGAGAGTCCACTGGACTTCAAGGAGATCAAACCAGTCAATCCTAAGGGAAATCAATCATGAATATTCATTAGAAGGACTGATATTGAAGCTGAAGCTCCAATATTTTGGCCACCTGATGCAAAGAGCAGACTCATTAGAAAAGACCCTGATGCTGGGACAGATAGAAGGCAGGAAAAGAAGGGGACGACAGAGGATGGGATAGTTGGGTGGCATCAACTCACTCAACGGACATGGGTTTGAGCAAGCTCTGGGAGACAGTGAAGGACAGGGGAGCCTGGTGTGCTGCCGTCCATGGGGTCGCAGAGCTGGACACGACTGAGTGACTGAACAACACCCTCAGCTCCCCAAAGCCACCTTAGGGAAGCAGCTTGCAATGTGAATTCAGCAGCAGGAGCCAGCCACTTTTACCAACCAGCATACCTCCCCCAAATCTCTCCTCTCTGGAAACTCTGAAACTTCACTGCTTTTAAAAGTCATCCTGGTTGACAATGGTCCAGTTGATTGACATAAAATCATACACTGCTCTTATAGGTAGCTAACAATCTTTTCATTTGGAATTAACTCGTTATAAAAAGAATCACATTTGAAATCCACCCTTACATTCTGAAATATTATATGTCAACTCAGTTGACCAAAGTAACGGTTTCCAATCTGTTGTCTGTGGAACCCTAGGGTTCCATGAAGGTGCCTTGGGGCAGAGAAAGAGAGTGAGGCTGAGGGGTGAAAGCTTCAGAGAGCTGCTTTCCTGCCCAAGATCAACCCATTCTTTCTCCTAACTTTCTACATATTGGGCTTCCATGTAAAGGCTTATTTGGAAAAAAAAGTTTCTGTTAATTTTTTTCAAAGTGACTTGAAATTTAAAATGTGCATTCTTTTCAACTCAGAAATGTAACTTTAAAAAATTACACTGCAGAAAAAAAAAATCAAACTCATGATCAAGATTTATAGATGAAGAACTCTGTTATCATTCCTTTGCAATAGCAGTACACTGGGAACAACCTAACACTTGCCAATAGGGGAACAGATAATCAAGCTATGGTATAGTCATGCTATAGAAAAATACTATACAGCTGATCAAAATGCATGGAAATATCTTCAGGACACATTTAAGTTTTTTAAAAGAAAATTTCAGTAAAATGTGAGTGAAAGTGAAGTCAGTCGTGTCTGACTTTGCGACCCCGTGGACTGTAGCCCACCAGGCTCCCCCGTCCATGGGATTTTCCAGGCAAGAACACTGGAGTGGGTTGCCATTTCCTTCTCCAGAT